CCATGACTGACATCTTTGGCGCGGGGCAAGACACCACATCCACAGCGCTTGCGTGGGTCCTCCTGCTGCTGCTGAAGCACCCGCGGCTCCAGCGGGACCTCCAGGCTGAGCTGGACCGGGTGGTTGGACGCTCCCGGTTGCCCACGGCCGAGGACCGGCCCCACCTGCCCCTCCTGGAGGCCTTTATCTATGAGACGCTGCGCTACAGCAGCTTCGTGCCCATCACCATCCCGCATGCTACCACGGACGATGTGGAGCTTGAGGGCTTCCACATCCCCAAGGGCACTGTGGTCTTCATCAACCAGTGGTCAGTCAACCATGACCACAGCAAGTGGCCCGACCCGCAACGCTTCGACCCCGCACGCTTCTTGGACGCGCAGCAGCGCCTGGACCGCGACCGGGCTGGCAGTGTCATGATCTTCTCGGCCGGCCAGCGGCGTTGCATCGGTGACCAGCTCTCCAAGCTCCAGCTCTTCCTCTTCACCGCCATCCTCCTCCAGCAGTGCTCCTTCCATGCCAATCCGGCAGAGCACCTCACCATGGACTGCATCCACGGGCTGGCGCTGAAGCCGCGGCCCTTCACCGTCACCGTGCGCCAGAGGCACCCTGAGCTCACCCAGCCCTGAGCGCCTGCGGGGGGTGGGTGCGGGTCCCACCTGTGCTGCACCCCCTCGGTTTGGAGCAGGCAGGGCTGGGGGAAGTTGGCAGGGGCAAGCGGTAGCACATCCCCCTAGGGTGAAGAGCAGCGAGTCCCCACAGCAATAAATGCCTTTGACACGGGACCTGGCTCCGCTCATTTTCTCCGGGAGGGGGTGGCTGGGAGCATTGTTCACACCCAGGCCCCCACCCTGCATCCCCCTGAGCTCTCCCACCCCCAAAACAGGTCAAATCCCATCTCCCCACAGGGACCTCCCTGCAAGGACTGGACCCTGCTTGGCCCCAGGGTGCAGCAAGCAGCTGCTTCACCTATCTCAGCCGAAGGCTGGAGAAGGATGTTCTAGGTCGGGGGGAAGGATGCACTTCCCAAGGAAAGCCATGGAGGAGCCAAGGGAGGCTGGAGGGGTCTTGTTGCTGGAAGTTAAGGACCCCCCAAGTTGCTGGGGGATGGGAGTTTGACCCCATCACTCTGAGGCCATGAGCAAGTCTCCCTGCTCTGGTTTGGATGTGATTTGGGAAGGTTTTGGCAGGGGGATTTCTCACCCTCCTTCCCCCCAGACCCCACTAATGGCTTGTGGCATGGGATGGAGGGACACCTCCCTGGCGTAGTGCAAGGAAGGGGAAGGTATTTCCCCTCTACAACCCTCTGCTCGGAGTGGAAGGAGGCTTTGGGCACCCAAAAGCAGGCTCTGGCAGTGTGCATTGAGTCTCTGCTGAAATGGGGCACGGCCCTTCTCCAAAATCACACTTTTGTCCCCCAGATTCAGCTCCTGAACGACATCTGTCAGCGTGACCTGCAGCTGTAGGGAAATCCTCTTTTCTTGGGCACAAGTCCCTTGTGCACAAAGTAAATCCACCCCTGCGAGGCACCTTAGTGATTTTTTTTAATGGTTTGACCAAAGCTAACAGAGCTGGTTCTGTATCAGGGGGTCTTCAGCTTTATCGGGTCCCTGAAAGGGAGGACAGAAAGAGCCACACAAGCTAAAACCGGGCTTACCTCAGTGCCACCAGTCTGTGGCCACCCTGAGGAGCTTAAGAGAACTGTGCAGATCCCCTCCCACCACAACAATTTACCAACAGTCAAATTATCTCCTTGAGGCTTTACCAAGCAGTAAGGCTAGATTTATGGTTTGTTGTTGTTTTTTTTTTTTTTTTTTGGGGCAGCCATGGGCAGGGTATCCTCAGGGGACACTGTGGTGGCATCAGGAACACACAGCCCTGATGCTCAGCAGGGCAGGACCAAGACTTAATTTCTGTGCTACATGTTGGCATTTCAATTGCTACTCGTGCTGCTCGTGCAGTGGGTGAGGATTCATGCCATGCTTCTGCACTGTTAGCAAGACACAAGGAGCTGGCAGGTGGGGGGGTAAAATGTGCCATAGCTCAGAATGTTACTGGGACCGTGGTTCAACGGGTCAAATGAAAAAGACGACAAGAGGTGAAAGGCAGCTGTGACCAAACAACTGACTCTTGGTCATTATGGGAAACCCCAACGTGTTTTTTAGGCATTTTCCTGGTTATTTCTCCAACCTCATGTGATGAGCAGACTAAACCAGAGGAACGAATATGGGAAGAGCCCCAGGGCTGCAGCCCTCCTCTTTCAGCCATCTCAAAGCACGAGGATGCTTCCAAGGCCACGGCAGTGCCACTGCCAGCACCAGTGTGACCAGGACACCCACCACACCCCCCAGGAACCGGCCCAAGGCAGACAGCTGCAGCCCTTCAAGTGGAAACCTCAACACTGACATCCTTGGGGCTCTGCGGAACCTGTCTGCACCGTGACAGCGCTTTCCCCCCCCCCCCCCCCCCC